GATGGATATAAAAAATAAGGGCCTTTGCATTTGTAATTGCTGTATCCTGTCTCAATGTCCTCCTCTTTATTTTATTCAGCCCTCTGTTCAAATGTAACTTCCTCAGAGAAGGCTTCCAAGGCTATCTGATCTAACATTGCCTTTCCCAGCTCTCCTATAAGACCACCAATAATTTTAGCATTTTTTCTATTTAATTTTCTTATGATATTCACCACTATTTGAAATCATTTATTTTTACTTGTTAATTATCTGTCTCTGTTACTAAAATGTAAAGCTCAGAAAACATCTGACTTGTCTTGTTCAGTGATGAATCTAAAATGGTGTACGGCACATAAGCTGTTCAAAAAGTAGTTTCTGAACATGTGAATGAAATCCTACCTCTTTCAATTATCCTCCATGGAATTACTACCATAGTGTACTGCCTCCAATCCATGATTTGCAGTGCTCCAGAGATATGTACTTAAAACACAAGTTCTTGCTCTAAAATCTTCAGTGACTCCTCATGATCTATGGAATGCAACTGAAACTCCAACATGGCATTCAAGACCCTTGATGACCTATTTCCAGCCTTATCTCCCGCAATCCCACCCCCTCACATCCAGTGATTCAATAGCATAGAACCACTTGCCATTTTTTTGCTGCATTCAGTACTTTTCTACTTCCCGTGCTTTTATTTAAGTTCCTTCCTCTGTTTGATATGGTCTTCTCTATAATCTTCACCTATTTAAACACAATCCACCTGAAAAAACACACCTCAGATTGAATTCCTCTAAGTAATGTTTTCAGATTCCTAGTTATAAGTAGTCTCCTCACCACCTAGTCTTGCCTAGACCTCTTTTCTTCTACTTATCACAATTTATATGGTATATGCACACGTCTAGTTTCACGTTCTCAAAGAGAACTTTGTCTTATACTTTCTTATACCCAGAAAAAAAGTATATATGTGTCTATATATTTGTGTATGTGTGTATATATATATATACACACACACACGTACATATTAATATATTTAATTCAATATAGTAGATTCTCAGTAAAAATATATTTATTGAGTTAACAATAATTTTGCTTAAGGTGATACAGGATAGTGATTAAAGACATTAACAGTGTGACTGAGAAAAACTACTTCACCGCTCCAAACCTACATGTCCTCATCAGTAAACTGGAGATAAAAATAGTACTTAGAACATATGACAGTAACAAGGATTAAGTGAGATATTATATAAAGCACTTAGCACAGTGGCACATGGTGAACACTCAGAAAATGTTAATTATTATTATCATTGCTTGACTTTTAAAGATATATATAATCTATTATGATGATTCAGTAAGCTCTAATATTTCTTAAAAAGTTGCCAGGAAAACCACAGAATGGGAAAGAACATTTACAATATATATGATCCTAATACTCACAGATTCCATATTTGTGAATTTGCCTACTTATTAAAATTTTTTTGTAATCCCATAATCAATACTAGTCATTCACAGACAGGCACGGTGGTTGAGTTCCCACGCAATGGTTTCCAGCTGACAACGAACATAGTGATGGTCTGCCTTCATGTTTCACCTCTCATACCATAAACAAGTGTTCTGTTTTTGGTTTATTTAGTGCCACATTTGTTGCATCTTACGCTTTGTACTGGTGATTTTGCCATTTAAAAAGGCCCGCAAGTATAGTGTTGAAGTGCTGTCCAGTTTCTAAGCGCAAGAAGGCTACGGTGGAAGGAACTACTGATATGTGCAACTACATGGATGAATCTCAAAATCTTTATGGTTCGGAAAATAGGCCAGACAAAAGATTACACATTGCATGATTTCATTTACATAGTATTCTAGAAAATGCAAACTAATCTATGGTGCCAAAAACAAGATCAACAGAGTGAGAGATGGACAAGGACACATAGAGAATCTTTTGGAGGGGACAAAAGTGTTCTGTATCTTGTTGGCTTCCAGGGTGTATACATCTGTCAAAACTATCTGAGCTCTGCACTATGAATAGATGCAGTTTATTATTTGTAAATTATACCTCGAAAAAGCCGATTTTCAAAAGCTGCCAAGATATTCTGAGGAACAAGATGTCCATTAAGCAAGCTGACATTATCAAAATTATTTCATAGGTTTGAGATGTGTTCCAAGGTGTTAATACACGTTCAAAAAACAGACAGATTACATTGTTTTGCCACTAGATGGCAGAGGGAAATAAAGAAATGTTCCTGTAATGGCAGAACAGAAGAGTACTCAAAAGGGGAAATGCAAAGTAGGGACAGAAGTTTGAAAGACACTCAAGAAAAAAATCAGTTATAATGGATTCACGTTTTTTCACTAACATAAACAGGGACAATACACGTGGACCTCATCAGATGGAATACATAGGAATCAAACTGACTACATCTGTGGAAAGATATGATGGAAAAGCTCAATATCATCAGTCAGAACAAGGCCAGGGGCCGAACAGATCATCAACTGCTCAAATGCAAGTTCAAGCTGAAGTTGAAGAAAATTAAAACAAGTCTACAAGAGTCAAAGTACAACCTTAAGTATATTCCACCTGAATTTAGATACCATCTCAAGAACAGATTTGACGCACTAAACACTAACGACCGAAGACCAGACAAGTTGTGGAATGACATCAAGGACATCATACATGAAGAAAACAAGAGGTAATTAAAAAGAAAGAAAAGACCAAATTGGATGTCAGAAGAGACTTTGAAAGATACTCTTGAACGTAACGTAGCTAAAGCGAAAGGAAGAAATGATGAAGTAAAAGAGCTGAACAGAAGATTTCAAAGGGTGGTTCGAGCCAAAAGAATTGAAGAAAAAATTCAAGCCTCATCTTGCAATATTGAAGGATTCTGTGGACAAAATACTGGGTGATGGTAGAAGCATCAAAAGAAGATGGAAGGAATACACAGTCACATTCAACCATTTCAGGAGGTAGCGTATGATCAAGAACCGATGGTACTGAAGGAAGAATTCCAAGGTGCACTGAAGGCATTGGTGAAAAACAAGGTTCCAGGAATTGACAAAATACCTACTGAGATGTTTCAACAAATGCATGCAGTACTGGAAACCCTCACTTGTCTATGTTAAGAAATTTGGAAGACAGATACCTGGCCAATCAACTGGAAGAAATCTAAATTTGTGCCCATTCCAAAGAAAGGTCATCCAACAGAATGGGGAAATTATTGAACAATATCTTTATTATCACACGCAAGTAAAACTTTGCTGAAGATCATACAAAAACGGTTGCAGCAGTACATAAACAGGGAAACTTCCAGAAATTCAAGCAGGATTTAGAAGAGGATGTGGAACCAGGGATATCATTGCTGATGCCAGACGGATCTTGGCTGAAAGCAGAGAATATCAAAAAGCCGTTTATCTCTGTCTTATTGACTATGCAAAGGCGTTCGACTTTGTGGATCATAACAAAATATGGATAATATTGCAAAGAATGGGAATTCCAGAACACTTAATTGTTCTCCTGTAGAACCTGTACATGGACCAGGAGGCAGTGGTTCGAACAGAACAAGAGGATACTGCATGGTTTGAAATCAGGGAAGATGTGTGTCAGGGTTGTATCCTTTCACCATACTTAATCTGTTTGCTGAGCAAATAATCCGAGAAACTGGACTCTGTGATGAACAGCCTTGGGCTGTTGATCTTGGTCTTCCTTCCCTCTTGTGAAGTTAGAGGTCAGACACTGCTCCCATTCCATTTTTACAAACCATACGAAATTGCCAATATTCTATCATTTTTGACCTGGAAATACAGCAATTTTGTATGACTCGACCTAATATAAAACACTCATATACACACCACCCAAATGCAATAATTATCAAGACAGTTCCTCATTTGATCCGTCTCTTTTTTTCTTTTTCTTTTATTTTTTATAGAGTAATTTTAAAGCAAATTCTAGACCTCAAGCCATTCCACCTCTACATTTTTAGCATATATCTCTAAAATATATGGATATTTTCTTATATAACTGCAATGGCATTATCAAGCTTAATTAACAATAATTCCTCAGTATCATCTAATATCCTGTCCATAATCATATTTCTGTGATTGTTCTTACAAATGTCTTTTTACAGTTTCATTGATTGCAGTAGGTTCCTAAACAAGGTCCACACCTTGTATTTGGTGGTTGTAGTTCTTAGCCTCTTTTAATCCCAGAGCTGTCCCTCTAAAATACCCCCTCCCACTCTTTTTCCATGCTACTGATTTGTTGAAGAAACTAGGTCAGTTATTCTGTGATATGATCCACATTCTGAATGTGTTTGTTTGCTTTTCCATGAAGCCACTTAAACTATTCTTCAATCTGCCTTATTTCCTATAAACTTGAAGGCACAGAGCCTGTAGTTTTAATCACTATAATTTCGAGCAGACAGAGTTTGTCCTTTAGAGTGCCAGAGCTAGACAGAGGTGAGTTTGGTATTTTGGATATGTCACTTAAAAGTCAAAGAGCCCTGGTGGCGCAACGGTTAAGCACTCAGCTGCTAACCAAACAGTTGGCAGTTTAAACCCACCCTGAGGCTCCATGAGAGAAAGACCTGGAGATCTGCCCCAGTAAAGATTACGGCAAAGAAAACCCTATGGGGCAGTTCTACTCTGTCACCTGGGATCGCTACAAGTTGAAATCAACTCAATGGCACCCAACAACAATAACGTACGAGTCATGTGGCCTTGGGCAAGTTACTAAAGCTATTTAATCCTTGGTAAAAGAGGGATATAACAACAACACATAACTTGAAGGGTTTTGTGAAGATGAAATGAGACAATGAATTTGTAACACCCAGCACAATGCCTGATACACAGACAGGCAGGCAGTTGCTCAGGAATGTCAGTTCCAACCAGTGACAAGAGATGCCTTCAACTTATATAATAAAAATATTCATTCCAATCAACTATTTATAAAAAGTACCTGGAAAAAATGCATCTTTTGGAGGGGATAATGCAAACTATGTATAATATTTTGTCTGTAAGTGATAAGCAATACCTACAGCAGAAGTAGGGAGTCCAAGTATGTTTGAAGGATAAATTGTCTTCAAGAATTTTGCACTACTGCCGAAAGAGCAAAGTCTCCTTGGGGCCAAAAACATACCTAAAGGATAAAAGGAAAACTGAAAAAGTGAGTAAATATATGTGAAATCACAATCAGATACATACAGCTAATAGACCATAAGCTTACATAAAATGTAAGTTTTTTTTCTATGGTATAATCTCTCATCACTAGAATCATCTAATACATTTACTTCCCCTTATACAAATTTATATACAGCTATCCCCTGCTTTTCAAAAGTTTGCTTTATGCCACTTTGCTTTTAGGAAAGACCTACATTAGTACCTGTTTTCACTAACCAAAAGAAATCCAAAGAGGATTTTCGCTTTCATGAAAAAAGGCGAAAATAGTGTTCAGCGTTTGTTTTGTAGGGAGCCATTAGAGAGGCAGCGCACACCTCTAGCAGTGAGAGTGGCATTGCCAAGCTCCTACCCCAGGAACTACACTCAGCATCTAGCATCAAGCCAACTTAGTGTTATTTTAGGTTTTATGTGTTATTTGGTATGATTTGATAGGTTATTTTTGGGGTCTGGAAACACTCAAAAACTTTTCCTGTATAAATTAATGGTAATTGCTTCTTCGTTTTATGCCATATAGGCTTACGAAGCATTTCATAGGAAAGGTCTACTTTCAGATAGCAGGGGAAACCTGTGTATAACATTTTAAACTAGAGATCTGTAAGGATATTCTGAATTCAAAAAGTAAGGCTTCATGATATTCAAGAGCATTAAATTATAGTGAATAAGCATTAAATTATAGCAAATCAAAGTTCCATTTCTAGCAGCTGAAAAATCCAGAATATTTCGATCTAGGATTACTCAAATTTCTGAATCATCCAGGTAATAGTCACAAGTAAAAGCAAAACCCGTAATAGTAAACTAAAGTTACTAGAAATAGGTTATTTAGAAAGTTGGTTGAAAAGAAGGATGACAGCAGGTCTTTGATAAATATAGAGTATATGAATGAATCTTAGGTTATTTTCTCAGATGATACTCCCCTCTACAATTCCATAGATAGCTAGCAACCCACTTCAATAGATTCTAGTTACATAATAGGCATGCATTCTGAATTGCTTCTCTACCTGTAAGGAAATTGTTACTAGTCATGGGTAAATGGTGGGAGGTCAAGGAAATATGAAATTCCATTATACTGCTACTTGGAAGTGAAAACAAAACTCAGCTTTCCAAAAACATTTAGGCAAACAGAAACTGCTCATCAGGTTTTACTGAGATTGTCGTTCTCTCAAGTACATGGCCTGCTCCATCCGTGGACGCACTTCCTCTAATAGTTGATCAAACCTTATGTAGAAAAAGAGAAATACACTATGGATTCAAAGGGATGACTGAAGTGGGCTATAAATCTCTTTAAGAAGTTACCAAATTGTTAAGGCTACAGAAAGCTGTAGCTGTGAAAATTAATATATTGGCTGTTTCTTAAAAAAGTAGAATATAAAATTCTGATCTTGTCAATATAATATCAGCATAAATGACTGTTCCTTGAGTGGGCCTTCCCTAATCACACAATTTATAATATCCTCTTAACCATTCTGTATCACGTCAGCCAACTTTATTTCCCTGCAAAGCACTTTTGTTTGGCTGATCACTCATTCACTCATTTGATAGTTTATAATGTGAGCTCCAGGAGCAGGGACCTGCTGTATTTAGTTCATCACTGCATTTTCTAGCACATAATAGGCACTTTATAAATAACTGTTGAATGACTGACTGAATACATAAAATCATTTTATAAATTAATGATTTAAATTGGCTACATGGGCTATTGATTCCTGTTGTAAAGTAAATAATTACCCTTATGTTCTATGTCTTTCGAGTCAACAATCCGTTGTCTTAAATCAAGACATTTTTCTATTGATTTTGTATATTTGAATATGGAGTCTACCTTGTGCATAATATGCCATCGGTAGATTAACTAGATCACCCTGGTTATGCATCCATGTCAAATTGATACCCAGCACTCTCCAGTATTTCTATTGTATATTGTAGGCAATACTTCTCTCCCATAGTCCGAATTGATTATTTCAAAAAATTTTCCCACACTCCTCTAACCTAAAACCTTCCACTTTCCTCCTCACTCTAAGCAGATGACTTTGCTTCCTATCACAGAGAATACAGAAGCCGTGAGATGGGAGATCTCTCAACCTGCCCCTATCAAATCTAAAAAACCCACCTTTCCCTCTTCTTGTTATAATAGAGGAGCCCTGGTCATGCAGGTTAAGAGCTCGGCTGCTAACCAAAAGGTCAGCAGTTTGAATCCAACAGCTGCTCCTTGGAAACCCTATGGGGAAGTTCTGCTTTGTTCTATGGGGTCGCTATGAGTCGGAATCGACTTGACAGCAACAAGTTTGGTTTTTTGGTTTATTATAATAGAAAAAGTGATCCTCCTATAAAAGGATAATCCCTTTTCCCACGAAGAGGGGTTATCTCATCCCCTTCCACCTCTACAGAAATCTTGACCTCTTTCTCCAGTATACTGAGCTTTCCTTGCTCTTCAAGCTTAAATCTCTTCCAGTTAAAAACAACAAAAACAAAACACAAATACAAATAAAAAATAAATAAAACTCTTGATGCTAGCTTTGCCTCTGTTACTCACTTCCTTCTTCAAAACTTTCCTTATCACTTTCTCTCAAAAGCAAAAAATGTTAGAGAATTATCTTACTTAAAGAGTTCTCTTACTTGGTATCTTCTTTTCCTCAACCAATATTCACTCTTCACCCTGAGGCAATCTGACTTTTGTACCTGTTACCCAAAGAAGCAACTATTGCCAAAGTCAGCTTTGACATGCGTATTGTTAAATCCAGTGGGCATTTTGTAATTTTTTCTTTCTTTGAGCTCTCTGAAGCATTAGATACTTCTGACCAAGCACTCCTTCTCCCTGAAACACTGTGTTCCCTTGGCTTCTGTTCTGACACTACAACTCCTATTCTTCCTACCTCTCTGCTCGTCATTAAGTGATTGGAATTCCTCAAAGTTCAGACCTGGGCTTTCTTTTCCTCTCATTCATAACTCTATCACTAGGTAGTCTTAACTGTGGAAGGAATTGTGGGGACAGCAATGAAAAAATGGCTCCAAGAAAAGCTAAGCAACTTTAGAACCTTTGAAGAAAACTACTTTTCTTCTGCATTTACATAAGCATATTTTGAGCAGCATTTGCCAATTACAATGAAATTCCTTATGTATATTCATCAATAAGCTAAACAAATTTGGATACCACTGAAAAGAAAAGTTGGAGAGAAGGTTTTTAATTCTAAACATTTTCCTAGTCTCTCCCTAAAAATAATATTCTGTGAAAAAAAAAAGACAAATGTGTAACCAGGGTGATCTAGTTAATCTACCAATGGCATATTATGCACAAGGTAGACTCCATATTCAAATACACAAGATCAATAGAAAAATGTCGATTTGTTATCAATGAGGTAGACTGTTTAAAATGAGGACATAAGGTACGCTTCACATATTTTGGGGTGACCTGAAGGAGAGAGATCTAAGAAGAGGATTTTTGTGAATTGTTGAGGGAAGAATCCAGAGCTAAAATGTAGGCAAGCAATCAAAATGAATTTTAACAAGTATAAATGTTTAAAGTTCTGGCCTTGAATCCAAATTATCAACTTACAAACACTTTAACGTTTGGGTGAACTGCAAGCTCCCAAAAGGGCAAGAGTAAGATCAAAGGTAGTATTTCCACTCTCCCTGTTTATGTTCTACCTGTTAGTCCAGTTCTACAATGTTTATAAGGCTTGATAGAATAAACGGCACGTAGTCGGCAAACTTGGTACTGGCTGGGGAGGTATAGTGGGAAGGATAAGCCTCAAAGCCATGTTACTGGGTCGTGCGAGAGTGGAAAAAATTATCCAAATTTAGTCGGCACAAGACTTATCCTGAAATTGCTGAAAAGCTGTTATATGAAAATGGTATCCACGTAATTATTAATTTATCCACTGGGAAGAAGTATGGCCGACTAGTTTAAATTAGCAGGAATGAAGTCTTAGCTCAACACGTGGTAAACTTTCTAATGGTTGATTTGGAACAAAGGCTTGTGTGAGTGAGCAAGCTGACCGAATTAACTCAGGTAACAGCCAAGGGGCCCACCTGTGGGAGAGGTCTGAGAATATTCCTGTACAGGCTGGGGCTTCGGACTGCTGGAGCTGTTCGAACTCCACAGCAACCAGCGGGCTGCTTTTCTATTTTATTTTAAACTTTGGATTCCGGCCAGATTCACTTACATGGCAAATTATCAGCCTTTGTTTCCTTTGTTATTAAGAACCCCGGTTACGGTGGAAGTGGAGGTGTTACCCCTCCCAGATCGCTTTCTAAATGTCAAAATCACAAAATCAAGGGCGAGGGTCCAGCACCGTTCCTTTCCAGAGGAAACTGTTAATTCCAGAATGGACCCTCTGCAGTCGCCCCTCCTCCCGCATGCAGTCAGCCAGGGCCCAGGTTCGTGGACCCAGCCAGCCGCTTCAGCCTCGGGGCTTGGGAGGTAAAGTCCGAGTCCTGATTGAAATCCAGGCCCGGCTCTTCCTCCCAGCCCCGTCACACGCGCGGCTCCGGCGAGTCCTCAGCCCTCCAAGCGGGCCCCCTCCCGCGCTCGCTCTACTCCCGTCGGGACGCTGGGAGTAACAGTGACTCCGCGAGGGAGTGCCACACCTTGCGCCTCTCTCACCTCACTCACCCGACAGCCTCGCTTCCTTAGGCTCGAGTCTGGTCTGGGTTTGAGGACTCCGTAAAACGTGATTCGGCCGTGGGGCGGAGCCTGGCCGGGGACTGAGTCTGGTCTGGATTTTGGGGACCGTGCAGCTGGCGAATTGGACGGAGACGGAGGGCGGGCGCAGGGAGGGGGCTAGAATGAGGAGGCCAGATGGAGGCGGGCCTGAGTGTATCCGAGGATTGGCTATGAGGTCTGGACTCCGGGCGCAGATTGGCTCTGGCGACTGGATCAGAGAGAGGAGGGTGAGGATTCGGAGGAAGAGGAGGGTGTTGAAGGCGGGCCTGAGTAAGGGGGTGGAGCGGGGCGGGGGTCTTGAATTTGGCCGCTGATTGGGTATGGGATTTAGGCCCAGGGATCGGATTGGATGAATGTGACTGATTGGGTTGAGTCGGATTATAGGACGAGAGCTGCAGATAGGGCCGACGGGTTTGGGCAAAGGGGAGAGTTGTGGTTAGAATAACTTTGGAAGATACCTGAGAGGAGATGTCAAAGCAAAGCTAAAAAGAGAGAATTAAAAAGGGTTTGGAGAAGTATTTGTCACTTGTGAGGAGGGTGAGAATGAAGCTGGGAGGAGCTTTACTTCCCCGAAAAGTAAAATAAGTTTGATTAGAGAATTGAAAATGAAAGGGGGATCTGAGATGAAGGAGGAAAATAAATAACAATTTTTAAAAATGAACAGTGAAAATGAACGAGGAGAAAAAGGAAAACACCATGAGTTACTCCTTTGGGAAGGGAGAGTTTTTGTTAAGAATAGAGTTTCATGATTTGACTTCTTCCTCCTCTGTTTTAAGATGAGAGAATAGATGGCAGTAACTTTGTTATTCAGGCCTAGAGGAAAGAATAAAGTTAATCTTTGGTTGAAGGAGTTTACTTCTCAACTAGGAAAAGGAAGTTCAGAAGATGATTAGCAGAATGGGGAAATTATTGTGTTCAGAAGAGAATCTACCCATAGATTTTGAACCATAGCAAGAGGCACTTATTTGTCAATTCTTTCCAGACAAAAGACCATCAAAAACACACAGTCTTCCCCTTGGTTGGTTATGATTTGGCCTTGCAAACCAACAATCTCATCATCCCCAGTAAATTGCTTATCAACCTCAGACAACAGTCCACCAGCAATTGGTGGGTACGTAACTATTTGTAAGACAATTTAGCAGCCACAAAGAATCTAGGAGCAGGAAGAGAATATTTAATTGGTTCAACAGTGTTTGCTGAGCACCTACTATGTGCTGGGCACAGCATAGCAGGCTCTCATTTAGTCCGTCCTCTTTCCCAGTGAGGAAACCAAGACCCAAGCACAGTGGTGACTCACTCAAAGTCACACGTCTGGTGCTAGAACCAGTTCTTAATCGGGTGTTTGGGGTGGAGTCACTCACATCGGCTGCCTAAGGGATGCTCAGCTAAAAAAGGGGGGGACACTCTCTACAAGATCATTTCCTAGAGTCAGAAAATCAGTCCCTGGAGGCTCAGGTTTCCGTGGCTTGGCTGACACTCTCAGTTGTCAAGAAATAGCTGCTAATTAAAAACACTGCTGTCATATTGAGCTATAAAACAGTTTGTAATGGCAATGATCCCTTTGAAACTTGTCATTATCATCATAAGCTGATTCTTGCTTCAGCCATTAACAAATAAACTACTCATGGGCTGCTTTTAAAATGTTATTACGGATGCTGTGCTCTTTAAAGAGCCAGCCCCTCCAACTCCACTGACTACCAAGGTGGGCGTGGGTTAGGGATCCTGAGAACAGCCAGGAGAGGCCTCTGTGCCCAGCCAGGGACCTGTGGGGCCATCAGTCCCTCCCTCCCGTAGTACCTTTTATGGCCCATCAGGAAGATTCTCCATAACTAAGGGGACCAGGATTTCTGGTAAGCCTCTTCTGATACCCAGTTTGGCCCTAGAACATCACAGGTGTTGTCAGATTCTGGATTTGCTGAGGTTTCCCATAATCAGTAGGATGTAGGACCTGGCCTTCAAAATAGCCTGGGCTCTGGGGTTGGACACAACTGGGTCCAGGCCTGGCTCTGATGCCTTTGGCAAGTCACTTAATCTCTCTGAGCCTCAATTTCCCCAAATGAAGATGAAAAAAATTGAGATGGTGCCACTGACCTTATCGAGTTTTTGGAAGGACTGTATGCAGGAACACAGGGGGTGTGCTCAGCCCGGTACTCAGCACAGAGCGTGGCATAGGGGTGGTGGTGGTTGTGGTTGTTGTAACAACCAGTGACATTAAAGCCATGCCCTTAATGAAATCTATAAAGCACTTTGTGAGCACAAAGCAATTCATATTTTTATGATGATCAGTTTGGAGCTACTGGAAAGGAGGCCAATCTGAGTTCTCAGAAAGTCTAAATTTTGGACTGTTTTAAAGGAAGTAACATTTTAGTATTTTCATATGTGCACAGCAATGCAGATTAGCAGCTAATGATGTTTTTTCCAGGTAAAAAAATCTCGCCAGGCTGACTTCTGCCAGTTGCTAATGATTCATATGATTAGTCATTGGCAGTGTCTGCCCAGTGGAGACAGCACAGGTTTGGAAGTTGGTCAGGCCTCAGCTCAGATTTCCCCATACATGGCCTCACCTCTTCGAGTCTTGATTTCTATGCCTGGAAAATAGGGATAATAACACCCACCTCACAGGCTTTTGGGAGGCATAAATGAGATCATGTGTATAATGTACAGAGTCCCTGGGTGGCGCAAACACTTAAGCTCTAGCTGCTAACCAAAAGGTTGGTGGTTCAAATCCACCCAGAGGCGCCTCAGAAGAAAGACTTGGCGATCTACTTCTGAAAAATCAGCCATTGAAAACCCTATGGTGCACAATAGCCAAAAGGTGGAAACAACCTAAATGCCCATCAACAGATGAATGGCTAAACAAAATGTAGTACATACATACAATGGAATACTACTCAGCCAGTAGGAGAAATGAAGTCTTGATAGGTGTTATGATATGGATGGAGCTGGAAGACATTCTGCTAAGTGAAATAAGTCAATCACAAAAGGACGTACTGTAGGACCTCATTTATATAAAAAGACAAGAAAAGACAAATGTATAGAGAACAAAGATTATTAGTGGTTACCGGGGCAGGAGGGAGGGGAAAAAGGGGAGGCGTTTACGGTGATGCAAATATCACATTGATTAAGGGTAGATTTGCACAGCTGATTATTGTAATTGCTGTCAATAAGTTGTACACCTGTAAAAAGTTGAACCGGCAAAAGTTTGTGATAGGTACATTTACAACAATGACAAAAAAAAAAAAAGAAAGAAAGAGTAGCTGCTGAGGCTGTTTATGTACAACCAAAAACCTCACAGGATTTGGTTTCTTGGTTTGGAGATTTAGGGTCATGGTTTCATGGGACATCCCAGGTAATTGGCCTAATAACATGTTTAGACCTCTATTCTACCTCCTAGTTCGATGCATAGAGCCTGGGGTCTTCGAAGTTTACAAGTGGCCATCCAAGGCACAATAATTGGTCTCTATTCTTCTGGAACAACAGAGGAAGAATGAGAGTCAGGAATAGGAAGAGGATATGGAATGTGTGGCTAATTGCCTCCATGAACAATTGCTTCCTTTGTCATAAGACCAGAAGAACTGGATAGGGCCCAGCTACCATTACTGAACATTTTGATCAAAGATTCTATAGAAGAATCCTGATCTAAAGGGGGGAAATGCAGGACAGAATTTCAAATTCTCATGGACTCCAGACTGTCGCAGCGGCGAAGATCGTCGGGGCGGCGGAAACAGTAACCAATGCCACAACTCTTACAGAGAAGTGGGGCCAAGGAGGGTCACTCTGAGGAGTCGAACCCAGCTTCAGTCCCAGGAGTTTATTTTATAGTCAATACAGCAAACAGTGAAGGAAGTAACAGAACAATGGGCTTTGGGTGAATAACAATAAGTTTCGGGCAAGGGAGGAGGAATTCAGGTAAACAAGCCAATCAGTAACAGGTCTGGAAAAACAAGTCGTGACAAGTCTCAACATGTTGGGGACAAGTCTCAACATGTTGTGCAGCATAGAGGCCTTTATACATCCATATTTTAATGGCACATATCCCCATATTTCCCCCCTTTTGTTTAGTTAATGGAATTAGAATCAAGAGGATTTTCACTGGTCCAACAAATGCCCATTGGGATAAAGTAAAATTTTCTCTACAAGATAAAATCCAAGATTATCTCAGCTACTATCTCCACACCTCAGGGCCTGGCGTCTTAGTGAGTCCTTGTGAGCCCAGCTTCAGCTGGGGGACACTCCATATGTTTAAGGAGGAGAAGTAGCATAGCTATGAGTAACACCTGGACTTAGTCGAGCTCCTAGATGGCGGCTATGGCAAGCTCTTTAAACTCACGGTGCTGGTTTTCCACTGGATACCATCTGGTTTTCCACTAGGTTGTTACTTAATGCCTGGGCTTAGTGCTCCTAGATGGCAGCTGTAGCAGGCTCTTTAAACTCACGGTGCTGGTTTTCCACCGGATACCATCTGGTTCTTCACCAGGTTACTAAACAAGAACATTGCTCTTATCAGATGCAAAGTTGGAACGGGGGACTCAATGTGCCTTTCAGGTGTGTAAGACAATAGAGGATGATCTTATGAGGGTAATATAATCCTCTGCATTAGTAATATCCTGATTGTTGGACCCATGGGTTTCTTCTGACTCTCATTTTGTCAGGTAAACACTAACTTTTAACATCCACTGAAATTATTATTCTTAAAGGCTTAAAGATTTATAAAGGCTCAAAGAGTCATTAACAATCAAACAAGCAATGATTTACACAGCTTTACTATTACTTGGAAGGGAATCACTAGGAAGGGCAATTTATACATCATAACAGATTTAACAATCAAACAAACACTGATTTACACAAATTTACTATTAATTGGAAGGGAATCATCCAACTTAGAAATCTATCTATACAGAAGCATCTAACTAGGAGAAGCAGCAAATATAGAGGAGTTTACACATAACAAATTTTCATTGGGAACTTACT